GTTCTTTTCCCTGTTCAACTGGAACTCCTTTAAGCAGTAGAATCCTGGTTGATCTTGTACTGCTTGGACAAGAAGGCAAAACCTCTCCACCTCCTGCAGCCAACCGCCGACTGCCGCCTGGCTGCCGCCCGGCCGCCGCCCGCAGTGGTCGGAAAAACGTGCCGTTTCTCTTTTTTTTTTTTTAATTCTTCGAGGCTCGTTGATCTCTTGTGATCTCCCGGTTATCAACACACGATCACAACACGAAAAATATAATTTACAAAATTACATAATTCGATCCTAGATCCAACGAATGGATGTACATGTTTTCTAAACAAATAATTAAATCTATCCGGTCAACCCCCGGGCGAATAATTATTACAAACATTCATCCATAAATTCCTCGACATGCCCGAGGCTTTAAAAACAAATTTAAAACCATACATCACATTCAACAACATTCATCAAACACATAATCGGCCATAATAGTGGATTAACTATTTTCCTGCAAAACCGAGTTATGCAAATATAATCCAATATATGGCTGCGTTTGAACACATCTTGTCAAATAAAGCCGTAAAAATTCGAACTTTGTACAAAACGAATTAACCAAGTGCTCTGATACCACTTGTTGGGATCTGTGAGGATCTCGTTATGTACAAATCACGAATTCAATAGCAAACGTAAACCTATGCGCAGCGGATCTAAAGGTTTGACGTAGAGAACTTACGGCTTAAAATTTATGTAGATCTGGTTGACCACGAACGGTTGACCGCAATTGATTGACCGCAACACGCGTCTTGGGTTGCACGAACAAGATCAGATCAAAACTGGATCAAACGGATGCAAACAGATCAAAACGAAATTTTGCTGCCAGACACCTTCCGGCGGCGCGTGAGGGCGCGTGCGGCGTCGGATTCCGGCGACGTCGGCGGCGATGGAAAGCTCTCGTCGAGACGGTCGTCTGGGTATACTGTACGTCTCAATCGGACTTCCGGTTAGTTCTGTAGGTCAAAATCAATTTCGTCTCGGTTTACCTACAGATCTTCTACTGTATTACTCAATACACCCTTCTTCAACTTGTACCAGTGGAGCAACAAGAAGAAGATAAAGCTCGAATGAGATCTAGAGAGAGAGGCGTGTTTCACGTGAGAATGAATTCTATTCTCTTCTCATGAGCTTAATGATGTATATATAGAGCTACAGTAGGGACCCTAAGGAGATTAGGAAAAGGGCTCCTTAATTAATTAGACTAACTGTGGGCCAAACCCACTCCTCTAATTAATTAAATAATATTAATGGGCCACCAACATTATATTATTGCACTCCCTTTCCCTAGCCCAAATTACATTTGAGACTCCAATAATAATTACTCGATTTACCTCCCCACGTTTAAGATATAATGTCCATTAATTAATTCGATTACTGACAATCAAGAATTAATTAATTTATTATTATTTCACCGAAGCTAGCGCTCGTTCATCACATTCTTATTATGCCGGAATTTAATCCACCTGCAGGGTTTAGCATAACAATCCTTCATGAACTCACTCCGGGGACATCATCAAACTAACGCACATGGTGACCGTAAATATCCTAACAGCACATCCTATATATAATAATATTACCCAAAACAGTAGGAATATTAATCCAGCGAACTGAACCTCACCCATGTGAATCAAAGTAATATATATTATATATATCTGCCTGTTTAATATCTTACGGGTTAAGAGAACGCAGTAATTAACCGAGGCCTAGTTCATTTACGACGATCAGTATAAAATGAACTTCTCCTCTCTGGGATCCTGTTCAATACATAAATGTACTAGTGCAACTAATCAGTCAAGACAAACTGTACAGTTGACACTACAACCGTTCGGATGGGGTGTTCATGTCCATCTAGGTTGTGAACAACTATTCTTGTTCGCAAGTGACTGACAGAGTGATCTTCGGTTCGCCCGATGACGACCCACCCTATCTAAGTGCAGAACAACAGAACGTAGAACTTGTTTAATCTAACATGATTCTCATTCATAAAGGATAAATGTGTAATAACATGCAAAGCCAAGCTTTCAGTATATAACACTAACAAAAAATTACATTAAAAATATTTTATTTTTCTTTCTAAGGTAATAATTTACATGTTTGACATATTGATATGGGATGTCATACCTAAAGGACTAAACCGGTCAACTTGATCGAGCGAACCGCCTAGTCGAGCACAATCATAACAGAATAGGTGGTGGTCAAGCGTCACCAACACAGGATTAAGAGCTCTTGACTAAGAAGACAGCACAAGGGATGCAGGATGACAATAATAGGTCGAACTAGAACCCTCGGTTGGCCTGATAGAAACTATACCTGCTGGTTATAAGATCGACCAGAGGAAGCTGCATTCAACCCATAGCAGTTAGAACTATAACTCAACAGACTTCGACTTGAGTACGCTATCAGGTGGTCTAATCACGAAGGATTAAAGGTAAAAAGAAATCTTGTGGTAATTAATACCGCGCACATGGGCACAGATACGTGGCACTACCGAATTGGTCCATGCCCTATAACCGCTCTGACATTCTTAGCAGAGAGGTTGTACTATCTGGCAGCTTGGGGCAGCCAGCTCACCACATCTGGGCAGTCTTATAGAAGCAGGTACCTCACCTCTATAAATAGGAATGAGATGTGCGATTTTACATTTATTACATCCATTTTCCTCTATATTTTCTACAATTCATCTTCTACACATACTCATTTAAGCATCAGAGGCTCTTCATCGGAGAACCTCAGACGAGCTGTTCAAACACATTGAACAAGGCAAGCCGCAGCGATCCTAGACTATCTCCAGCATCTCGCTTGAGGTCCGGTAGCAGTCCAACAGACCCTAGGCGATGCGAACTCAACAGTGGTGCGACGCCCAAGGCGATGCGAGATGCGACTTAGACACCAAGAGACGCCGCGAGTCAATCGTGATCAGACGAGCAACAGCGAGACACTTGACCAAATGAGAGAAGGACGACTAGGTGAGAAGATCATCTCAGAACTGTTGGTATGGCCCCATAGGCCGTGTATGTTTGTACATAGTCTGCGAAAATTTTTAAAAGTATGCATTCGACCCTAATTTGTAGTTCCACTGTGCTTAGGGTTATTTCGTAGACAATCAGTGACTTGCATAATTTTGATGTTCCTAACCGAGCCCCAACAACGGTAAAGCTTGTCAAGGAATTCTACACGAATTTCCAACTCAGTAAGACTAAAGTCAGTCTCCAACAAGTTATTTAGTAGTTCAAGGCAAGAACCTAGTTGATTTTTGTTTAGCCGTTCAAATTTCCACTCACTAACCATATGCTGACTCAAAGGAGGTTGATGAACAAGTTGTCTGCATCTCTCGTCCAGCGAGAATCATACAAGCAATCTTCTTGTGTTTGTTCAACTCGTAGTCGAGGCACATTGAAAGACATATTTTAGGAAATTAAAGCGTGTTTTTTTGTATGTGTGTGCCAATAACAATAAAATGATCATATTTATAACCCATATATATGGACATACCATATAAGTCCAAAACACATACAACAAAAAAGTCAAGTCATTGCATATCCTTAAGGAAAGGATAAAAAAGCAAAGACAATAATTTGAGAGTCTTAAGGAAAGGATGGACATCCCACACAAGAGCAACAGTAAACGACCCATCTCAAAATCGCAAATTGGGAATAATATCTATGAAACCATAGATTATATTCCCATTCGGTCAAGAACAGTAAAAAATCCTCTTAAAGTGAAAAAGTACTCACAAATTGTATGATTGCACATCCAATGAACTCAGGGCTTCATCAAGCAAAAATTATCAATACAACAATCAATTGCATTAATTGTAAAAGAAAAGGCAATCGAGATAGAATGGAGTTTCGAATTCACGATATATGATTTTAGGGCACAGAGTATATAACACTTACCTGTTGTTCATAAATTGTAATCCTAATTAACCTCTTCTCTTCCCCTGTCACTAGGAATTTGCAAAAATCGCGGCATGCAGGTATCCAAAAAGACCGAGCTCCAGCGCATCCATCGAAAAATTTTCAGTCACCTCGGCATAAATGGGAATCACACGACAAAAAGAATATTTAATTTGAGGACAATTGGGTATAAGATTGTCAGTAATGTTAAGGAGCCAACTGTTGGTTCTGTTATAGAGCCAACAGCCAATGGGACAGCTCCATGTGAGGCTGTCCCTCATGGCTCCAATGTGGGACAACCCACATGGAGGTGTCTCATTGGCTGTTGGCTCCATAACGGAGCCAACAGTTGGCTCCTTAGCATTATTGATAAGATTGTAGGCTATTATAGTAATTATCCACACAATTCCCCACCATATATCCAACTAAGTAAATACATGACTTATCCAATCTTATATGATCGAATTAAAAATATCAATGTAAATAAACACCAAAATTTTTCAACCAAAGCAGTACAACCCCACAGTGTTGTATTAAAATGTCCAATGCCTAGTAAACGTGCCCATAGGGTATTATGAGCTTTGGTGCATTTACTGTGACATAAGTTATTTGTTATTAATCACCCCGACTCAAGCAATCAATCTTCCCAAATTGGTGTGGAAATTTGTCACAGAAATACTCAAAATGTTGATCATAACTTTATTGAACACAATGATTCCATAATATATATATATATTGCAAAATCTCTAGTTTCACGTATAAATGTACAGCAGGTATTTATTAGTCAACTTTTCCATGTGAAACCCACTGAAAGATGGATAGAGCCATACACGTAAACAATTGAAATTCATTAGACCTCATAACCACCTATTGAAAGTTTACTTATTTATGTATTTTCATAAATATTTTTTGACTTGTCCAATTAGTTTGACATACTTTTTTAAATAGAAGATATATTTATATTATAAATTAATAATTTTATTATTTTTAAAATATAATATTTCAATATTACATATTTATTATCTATGACGGTCGGACCAGGCAATATCCTGACTACTTTATTTTTTGTTATCGCGAAATTTTTGTCACGATCCTTTCCCACTCCTTCCTTTTTTCTGATATCTCAAAAAAATTGACTATTTATTTTAAAAGGGAAACAAATCCAAGCACCTTATCGGATGATATCAGCATTGGTCGACCCATTTTAGTTAGGCAACCACGGTTAACTTAACCAGAGTTCAATTCCGCGAGTATAAATACGCAAACGAACACCTCAATCAACCGCATCCCTTTCATTTCCTTTCTCCTCACACTGCGAAGTTTCCAAAAGAAGCCTTTTGCATGGTCGAAACCCAATTCTCAACCCTCTAACACACAATTCACTCACTCCTTACTAAGGTCAGCCGCCGTCAGTAGTTCAATATTGAATTCCGATACCGCAAGTATTTTGCTCTAACAGCCGCTGTATTTTTTTGACTTTTTTGACTGCAGGAAAAAAAAAATCATATCTCCCAAAAATGGCAGAGAACGGTGAATTTAGCTTCAGCGTGAAAGGGCGAAACAACCTCCCGAAGATCCAGACACAGAAGAAGGCGGATGACACGGCGGAGAGCGACGGCCAGATCTGCCACGATGACAGTGCCCGCCCGGTGAAGGCGCAGACGCTCGACGAGCTCCACTCGCTGCAGAAGAAAAAATCGGCGCCGACCACGCCGCTCCAGGCGGCGCAGGGCCCGTTCGCCGAGGAGGAGCGCCAGAAGCAGCAGCTCCAGTCGATCAGGTATTATTAATTAATGTTATCTCCCTTCGTTCAAACTAATTGATGAATTGCTCGTTTATTGTGAAATCAGCGATCTGTGTTAGTTAGATGCGAATTTTAATCGGTGCGATTGATTATAGCAGTTAAATTTTGGGAAAAATTGAAGTGAAGAGTGAAAATAAAATTAATTACTAAAATTAATTTACAGTGCATCTCTGGCGTCACTGACGAGGGAGACAGGGCCGAAGGTGGTGAAGGGAGATCCGGCGAGGACGGCGGAGACGCCGCGGGTGGCAGCTGCGAGCTATCCGCAGCAGGACCTCTTTGCTCCCACTAACATCAGCGACAGTTCCCTCAAGTTCACGCACATCCTTTATAATCTCTCCCCTGCTGGTAAACCCTACCTTCGTAATTTCATTTATGATTTAGGCNTCCTTGAATAAACCAATGAAAAATACTTTTTTTAACATTAACATTTTCTTTTTCTTGACCTCTTTCCTTTTTTATTATAATTTTATTCATTTAGAACTTTACGAGCAAGCAATACACTACGAGAAAGGGTCTTTTATCACGTCAAGTGGTGCACTTGCCACATTATCGGGCGCCAAAACAGGACGTTCCCCTAGAGATAAGCGCGTTGTCAAAGATGAAACCACAGCCGATGATCTTTGGTGGGGAAAGTGAGTATTCTCTTTTCTTCTTCTCTTTTTTATTTTTTATTATTTTTTTAAATTCTCTGAGTTTGCCACGATACTTTATTATTTAATACTATTCACACCTTTCATGAATATGAAATGTATGACACTGCGAAAATTAATTATTTGTTGAAAGTTAATGGTGTCACGAAATTTTGATGATTGTGATAGGGGCTCACCGAATATTGAAATGGACGAGCACACTTTCATGGTCAATAGAGAAAGAGCTGTGGATTACTTGTGCTCATTGGAAAAGGTATTTGACTTTTACAGTTGGTTATAAATTATTTTACTCTCATTTTTGTCCTAATAAAAATTGTTACTCAAAATCTAACTCAAATTTGAGTTAACTAAATTCTCATCAATATTATCAATTTAATTAAATAATATCAATCAATTATTCTCGCACCTTGTATTCACTATTCATCTTTACAATAATTTTATATATTCATCACTTTCAACCATATTTCTCCTACTTTTACATGAATCATTATATTTTAAATATTATTATAATATAATTCAAAATGTCACTCAAACTTAACTCCATCAATTTTTTCAAAATTAAAACTAGTTATTCAACAAACCCATAATAATTTATATCCAATCACACTCTAATTCCTGGCAAACAATTCTTTAATAAAAATTAATACCGGAATATGTGGAAATAATAATTTACTTACTAAACCTTTAAACATGGGCGGATCTACATGTGGGCGAGCCTAGGCAATTGCCTAGATTCAATTTTTTGTACTAACTACATATTGTTAACATGTGTTAATAAACAATTATATTTAGTATGTGTAAAAATATAAATACAAGTTTTTATTTTAAAATTTTAAATAATTCTTACAAAATAACATTATTGTTTTTATTTAAAATGATACATCTCACTAGTCAAATTTGACGATATCATATTATAACATTTTTAGTACTTATATCATATAATAAGCTTAATAGATAAATTTATTGCCTTTCAATTATAATTGATAAATATTAAAAATTTTATTGATAGAGATCAGATAGATATAATTATTTTAATTTATATATACAATATGAATATCAAATTATACATTGTCAAAATATGACTAATTTAAGTTATCATATATAAAAAATGATAATATATACAAATGTTATTAACTTTTAAAATATATTTACAATTTAAGTTACCCAAACGTTTAAACTTTAAAGTTCTAGATAAAGATCCATATTTATATGGACTATTTCGAATCCTTCGAACTTAACATATAGAATTACAAAGCATTCGAAATTGACAATGAAAAATTCACATTTATATATAAGAAGATAATACATAGCGAAATGTTTATAAAATAACAAGAACAAAAATGATAACATATAGGTCTTTCTTAAATTAATAAATTATATTTCAAAATGACTTGTTTATTTCTTATTACAAAAAAATGAATGAAAAAGGATTGTAAAATATTTTTAGTATATTTCTTAATAAAAATAAAATAACCAAACCTCATTTTCAATTTCATTTTTTAGGATCAAGTCAGAGGGAAATTGAACAAGGAACCTTTCAACACTCGTGTTCCAACGATTCATTTAATTGTTAATATAAGTACTTTGTGCAATATGGTTAAAAAAATTTCAAACTATTTTTTGTCCCGACTAATAAAAATTTATTCTGGATCCGAATTCTATCAAGATATCTTATTTTACTTTTTAATATTCTTTTTAACAGGATATGTGCGGAAATTAATTCATCATCTCAAATTCTCAGTTTGATAAAATGGACATTTCACTTAATTAAATAAAATAGTTGTAGTGAAATAAATCAATACTTCCAATTCAAAAAGTGACGACGTGCGCAACCTACCCAACTCATATAGTATGTGAATTACCATCGTAAAGGTTCTTGGATTTTGTGAATTGAATCATTTTATCCATCGTGGCACCCATCATGCTGGTGTGAGGTCTTTCAAACAAAGTAAAGAGTCGTCAGTAGGTATGGGCTGCAGCCACGAAACGGTTAAGATATCTTATTCAGCAATTCAAGGAAAAGAAATAATATCTATGTCTATATAGTATATAAAATGGCACCACCGACCCAACAATTGAAAATGAAGTTACTAGCCATTCCATCTTTATATAAATATAAATGTATATTTTCAACCTGTCGGTGCTTTATAATTTTAGTATGTTGAACTTTTATATTTATGTCTTTTGAAACTTTTAATTATGTGACATTTGACTTTACTAAGTTACAAATAAATAAATTTGATAAATCTTCAATTTGTTATTGTTTTTTCATAAATGAGAATTAATCATAACGATCTCCAATTTGACATATAAATTCAATCCAGTGTTTTAAAAGTCGTTAGGCGCCCGCTAGGCGCTCGACCAATGTCTAGCGCCTAGAGCCCGCCTAGGTGGGGTCTAGAAATCAATATTAAATACTTTATTTTTTATTTATTTTAACTATTTACAAAATAAACTATCTCAACTTATAACAAATCTACATACTTAAGTCCAAATAATAATATTTATATATATTAAAGAAAATATGAGAACAAAATAATATAATTAGTACTTAAAAAAAAAAACTGAAAATTTGCCGCCTAGGTCCGCCTATGCGCCGCTTGGCCGCCAAGTCCGCCTAGGAGTGCCTAGGGCCGCCTAGGCGCCGCCTGGCCAATTTTTTCTGTCGACTTGCGCAAATCGGAGGCGCCCGGGCGCCTAGGCCGATTTTTAGAACAGAGATTCAATCAATCAGCTACACGTTAAAATTCCACTAAGTGGGGTCGGCTATATGAATCACATGTCGTAATCGTGCTCGATCAAAACATATATCCTTATTGAAATTTAAATAATTTAAGTTATTCTGTCTCATTACAAGTTTTCTTAGATCTACCCCTCCTCTTTTAATTTGTGTTTTTAAATCTAATGTTTCAACCCTTCTTATTGGGACCTCGAAGTCTCTTCTGTGCACATGCCTAAACCATCTTAATCGTAGTTCTCTCATTTTTCTCCTCCATGGACACTACCCCAACTTTATTTCTAATACTTTCATTTTTAATCTTATCTAACTTATAGTATGCTCACATATTCATCTCAGCATTATCATCTCTGTCACAAGTTGTACATATAAAAGGTAAAATTACGTCTATATGTATAATTGAGTGTCCTAGTGACGAGAATTATTTTAAATATAAATAATTATGTAATTTTTCAAAAGTTTTTAATTTTTTTTAAATAAAAGCTTTTATTTTTATTTTTAGTTTTTTAATTAACACCCCTGTATAACAGGGGTGTTGTGACTAGTAGTTTATTGTTTCTAGCTTACGACGGTGAAATCAGGTTTCAAATATGGTCATGCACATTAATAATTTTATTGAAGTACTTCATATTAATCTGTTTTGTAAATCCATAATTTATATATAAAAAAATGAATTTAATTAAGTAGTATATGATAATTTAGTTTTGAATTAAAAATATCAAGTGTTTATATAAGAAATTAAACTAAAATGTTTAGTTACAGAATTACAAATGCGTTCGGAGTATTAACGGTTATGTAGTATAACATATTTCAAGTTTCTGAAATGGAAAAACTAAATTAAACAACTTAACCACAGAAAGCCAACAAAATAACAGATCTAGTCAAGTGTAACAGATTTGTAATCTCTAAGGTGGAGCTGATTTTTACTTTAAGCGTATTACAATTATATCGAGCAGCTTTGGAGAAACTCCTATATTCAACTTGTGGGCATCTCCAATCACGTACCCTCAAAGCATGTTATGTTCATTTTAGTGTCAGATTATTATCATGTCAAAAACTGTACACATATTTCACAAAGTATGATTCTAAAGCCTTATATTGTTACTGTGCATTGAGCTTATGATATATGTAGGGAATATTGTCCCTATTTAGCAAATAAGTTTAGACTAGAGATACCTATGCGATGCAATTTTTGTTAATTTCCCTTCATCACCTTCTAATTTACCAAGTGAGGAGATGGCTACTATTATTAGGAAGTCCAATTACACCATATCTAAAATCTGCTTCAGATGGATCAGCTGACATATTTGCCTCTAAAATCTTATCAGACATTTTAAGTACCTCGTTCTTCTGTTTGATTCATCAAATTTTTGCCTACACATTTATTTATCACGTAAAAGACGAACATTGTCCAATAAATTCCTTGTATGTTCAGGTTTTTGTGAATGATCAATTCCTTAACTGGGACCCTGAGCACCGCATTAAAGTTAGGATCGTCTCTGCAAGGGCTTATCACTCTCTGTTTATGCACAACATGTAAGTAGTAGCGTAAACAGTTTCAAACACTACCCATTCTGTGCCATTTCTGTACAAATGATAAAACAATGCTGGGCATGGTACGTGACAGGTGTATCCGGCCAACTCCGGAGGAGCTGGAGAACTTTGGTACGCCTGACTTCACGATATACAATGCTGGGCAGTTTCCATGTAATCGATACACCCACTACATGACCTCGTCAACTAGCATAGACTTAAATCTTGCTAGGAGGGAGATGGTCATCCTTGGCACACAGTATGCAGGGGAGATGAAGAAGGGCCTTTTCAGTGTGATGCACTATCTCATGCCCAAGCGACACATACTGTCTTTACACTCTGGTTGCAATATGGGGAAAGATGGAGACGTCGCACTCTTCTTTGGTTTATCAGGTATATATAGCTTTTTTTACTATATGGAGCCTTTTTTTTCCCACTGATTTAGGCTTCTAATGAGCTGATTTGGTTACTATTGTGTTATTCTTTGGTAATAGTCTCACATTTGAAATAATAATAATAAAATAAAAAATAAAAAATTGAGATCTCACATTTGGAGGAATTTGGGTTTACTTGTAACAGTGAATCAAACCTCATGTTACTTTTTATATGTGAGGAAATTGGGTTTACTTGTAGTTGAGTCAATCCTCAGGGATACTTTTCATACTCATCTCTTTTATAATTTGTGTGTTATGGTAAGATACATTCACACAAACATTGGTTTGTGATTGTTTTCAGGTACTGGTAAGACAACATTGTCTACGGATCACAACAGATACTTGATAGGTGATGATGAGCACTGCTGGAGTGAGAATGGTGTGTCAAACATTGAGGGTGGTTGTTATGCTAAGTGCATAGACTTGTCGAGGGAGAAGGAGCCTGACATATGGAACGCAATCAAGTTTGGTACTGGTATGAATTTTGCCGTTCTTTCTCTTGATGATTTACTTACTATATATATATATGGGATGAAATTATACATTTTCTCCTTGTTCCAACAGTGCTTGAGAATGTGGTGTTTGATGAGCACACACGAGAAGTGGACTACTCGGACAAATCCGTGACAGGTAAAAAAACTCTTGCACTAAATTATGCGAGATCGGTTTTTTATTCATATTGGAAAATTTCACTCCAAATCNTGCTAAGATACCTTGTGTGGGCCCACATCCCAAAAACGTCATCCTACTGGCATGTGATGCCTTTGGCGTGCTACCCCCAGTCAGCAAGCTCAGCCTGGCCCAAACCATGTATCACTTCATAAGCGGCTACACTGCCCTGGTAAAAAAAACATTAAAATCTCTCTTCTTTCCCGTGTTTGAAATCAACAACCTCATTACCAAAAAAATGATCATTTTTTTTTTCCTATACAACAATTATGATTATACTTTTCTCGTTTTACTGATCCAGGTGGCAGGGACAGAGGACGGAATAAAGGAGCCTACGGCTACATTTTCTGCATGCTTTGGTGCAGCATTTATTATGCTACATCCCACGAAATATGCAGCCATGCTAGCCGAGAAAATGCAAAAGCATGGAGCAACTGGATGGCTTGTGAACACTGGCTGGTCAGGTGGAAGGTAATGAATCTTAAACATTACTCAAGTCTGATAAATGCAATGATGTAACCTGTTTGCAGTCCTTGAAATGGTTTTATTAAAATTTGTTGTATCTAAAGCTATGGGTCGGGAAATCGGATCAAGTTAGCTTACACTCGGAAGATAATTGATGCCATACACTCTGGGGCCCTTCTGAAGGCAAATTATAAGAAGACGGAAGTTTTTGGGCTTGAGATCCCCACTGAACTTGAAGGCGTGCCTTCGGAAATTCTCGATCCTGCTAATACTGTAAGCACTTAATTTAAGCTAATTTTATATCTGGTGCTTAAGCCGATAATGACATAAATGGAAACAATTATGTTGCATTTNCAAAAAAAAAAAAAAAAAAAAAAATTACAAATGTTCCCAACTCTAACGGTGTGTGATCTGCAGTGGTCTGACAAGAATGCACACAAGGAAACTCTTCTGAAATTAGGAGGTCTCTTCAAGAAGAATTTCGAGGTGTTCGTCAACTACAAGATTGGGACCGACAACAAGCTGACTGAGGAGATCTTAGCAGCTGGGCCGAATTTCTAAATCCGCATGAACCGAGAATCATCAGGGGAATAAAAGCATGATATGAACATGTACTTGTTCAGTCCGTTGTTCAGTTTGGTCTTTTTACTTGAATGATTTTATGCGATTTGAATACCTTTCTCATTGTCATTGAGACAGGGTACCACTATGTTATTTACTGGTAAAGATCCTCTTCGGATCTGTTATGGCCTTCCATCTTTATCGAGTCAGTTTTTCCAGTATCACGGCACCAGACCTTGTTTAATGTGCAGTTTGTTGTTTTATCAAGTTATTTACTTTGGTGTCATTCAATAAATACATTTCTCACTCAAATTACTGCATAACGGTCTGTTGTCCCTATTTGTAAAGATGCTATCAACAATCTACTTTGAGCTACACTCCACCTAAGACCTTATTACTCAACATTCATGATTGTTGGAATATCACTTGTGAGTTGTCTCATATTGATTCTATAAGGTAAATGAACTTAGTTTATAAGTCTAGTGGGCTACTCCTTCCATGACCAATTGGTTTTGGGATGGAATCTCAACTACGCGCACCACACCCTCTTATGGTGCGCTTCATCTAGCGAGATCTCACTCTCTTTCCCTGATTCTATAAATCTAATAATGATAATTCAAACAAATTCATGTACTCATGTGTTAGCTCGTTTATAATAACTCAAACACAAACTCATGTCGTTATTCAAATAATCCATATGGAAATTAGTTTTCAGGATAAGCTCTAGTTTCAGTACATGTAAGGAAAAATAGCCTAGATACAAGACAAGAAATAAGATAATATAATGTTGAGTAAATTGCATTTTTTGTCTTGTATGTTTCGCAAAGGCAACAAATTTGTCTCCTTCAAATAGTCGTCGGTTTTGATTCTCATCCCTTATGTTTATAAAAAGTTATTAAAATGTTTTCGACTCGCCAAAAATTTATAATTTAATCAGAAACAGTCATGTGAACCGTAAGTGACCTGTTTAATGGTCTATTTAATCTGATGTGGAACCGGAATTCTACAGTGGCAATCTACAACGTTTCATAGTCGGCAAAATATTAAACCGCGAGTCTTCTACATTTACCTATAGAACCACTGCGCATAGGCAATTTTGTAGATAAATTTGTAACTTGCACATTGGCGACGATCCTTGTAGATCCCAACATCGCATGCTTCGTAAACTTATTTGGCATAAGTTGATGTTTATATTGATCCTAACATCGCATGCTTCGTAAACTTATTTGGCATAAGTTGATGTTTATATTGACACACACACACACACACACACATACACATATAAATATTTGGTTTTGACTATTAAGCTTAAGAAGTATCATAAACTACTTTGTCTTTCCTTTTTGCTTAAATTACCATATATTATTCTTCTTTTTTCTTACTTAATTCATATATTAATTACTGTAAATATGTATTCTTTATATTTTTAAAAATTTGTAACTTATTTGTATATTATTTTTTAATGATCTTTGATTTGAGATCCATATTGCGTACATAAAATAATTCCATTTATGTTTATAAATAAAACTAAATTTATTTATTAAATTAATTTAAAAAATATCAAATAACAATATAAATTATTTTATAAAATAATACAAAATCTAATTCATTAATACACTATAAAATAATTATTTTAATGTGCTTTTTTCATAAATTTTGGATAAAATATGGAAATTAAGTATCATATAAAATAAATTTTAATAAGTATTCTAAAATATTATTTCTCGATTTAAATAGTTTATATAAGAACTAAATGTCATTATGTTGTTTATATAATAAATATAAACAAATGTCATAATTAAAATCATAAAATAATTTTATACATCATAAAGTTAGAAAATATAACATTTCTGCGTAAATTAATATTCTAAGTTATTACATGTTATGAATTTAAATTACTTAAAAAATTAATAAACGAAAGACATCTAACGCTGTAAATATAAAAGATATATCACAATTCAATAACACTTGATTTGTTTTACAAATTCAAATCAAATTCATGGAGTTGCAAATAATCTATATATATGTAAAGAGGTTGTTTGAAAAATTCATTAATAGAAAACTTGACCAAATAAATATAATGTTGACATACTATTAATGGAAAATTCAAAATAATACATGTGAATCTTTAGTAACAAAATCTAAATCTTATTTTTTTGGTAACTAATTTGGAGATTCTTATGGCAAATTTGAATCCCATTTTTTTCGTATCATATTTTATTTTTTTTACCAAAATTTAAATCATATATTTTTTGGTAACAAATTTGGAGATTCTTATGCAAAGAATGTGTCAATTATTTATGAAAACAATTCTAAATACAAATTAACTTAAAAACCGTACAAATTGGATACAAATTTTGGAAACAAATAATTGTATAATTCTTAACTAATTTTTCCAATATTATTGACTAATTTTTTTTTTCAAAAAAAAAATGTGTAAATTGGATAAAACCACGTGTAATTTTTATTTTAGAATAGAACTGATATTTGGATGGGATGTACATTCAAAATTGTGTCGACATTTTTTTGTAACAAAAGCGGTTCATCTTTGATATTTAAAAATTAAAAAAAATCTTAAAATATCCTTAAAAATTTAACTTATTTGAGATCAAGATTTGTTAGGCATTTTTAAGATTAGTTATGATTTAAAAGAAAAAAACATTATACAAAATTTCACTCTAAATCTCACATTCACACTTAAGATTTCATAGTATTCCTTTAAAATTTGACCATCTTAAAAGTCTCAAATCTGAAAAAATCTCAAAGTGGCACTCAAAATCCTTAGCGAATACATATTATTTATCTATATCTTCAATTTATAATTATTATTTAATATTATTTACCCGTGCATCGCACGGGCCACATACTAGTATTTATTTTAAAGGGTGTAAATATGTGGATGCTATTTGAATAGTTACCACTTTGTTAGTTACTTTTTCTTGTTGTATATGCAATATACATAATTTTACAATAAAAATATAAATAGTTTACTTTTTTTATTGTGAACTTAACTTAATATATTTAAGTAATTGTGTAGTACAGTATATTAGTGAGGAATTAGTTCAAAATCACGTCCATTATATAAAAATGTTTCATGAGGGCCAGGCCTCGCAAACTGAGGGAGGAATTAAATAGGATTGTATCATTATCTATAATTACAATTAACTTTAGCTTAAAATAAAGACGAAATATTGTGGGATGCATAATAAAAATTAGGATGCATAATAAAAATTAACAAAATCTACGTTTATTTTAATAAAATTAAACAGAGTTATTTATGTACGGAGCCTACTGGAATGAAAATGAAACAGAGAGTCCCTATAATACAGAGTTTGATAAAAGTAGGAAGATTGTTGGGATAAAAGTGAAAGAGGAGCGAAAAAGTATAAGGAGTCTTGTTTAGGCAGCTAAATTTAGGAAGTTTGACAGAGAAACCATTGCAGTTAGTGTAAGGGCTTCAAAGTATATGATGATAATGAGCCGATACTTGCAACAGTATCAACGTTGAAACATATCTCATCATTCATCAAAGATTTGAGAGCACAAGTGAAAGAAAAAAAAAAGTGAAAGAACTAAAAAAAAAAGTGAAAAACTAAAAATTCCCTGACCTGGAGTTGAAATCAACAATATGTCAACAAGAATGAAAGTCTCCAAGAATGATTTTGTTTGGAATAAGGCACATCAAAAGCTTAATGCTCAGTATGTATAGATATTGAACGAAACACACAAACACACACACACAAGCTCATACAAGTATAGATTTGCTCTAAGGTACATACTGAGACCAGGATAATAAACTACAAAAAGTTTAGGGATATCCCAAAATTGGAACATTTATTCTTTCAGACTCCACAAGAGGAGATTCAAGAAGCTTCGGAGGACGATGCTGCATCATCTTTGTGCTTAATCATGCCAGAATCAACCAAAATAGGAATTTCTGCTGCAAGCCATGGTGCCAGCCCTAAGCAGAGAGCATGTGCTACGCCAAATCTAGGGCTATGTTAGATCAGAGAAAAACCCAAGTCAGTGAAAGTATTGTCAAGAGTTGTCTTTTCTGAAGGAGCAAGATGAAATTGCAGAGCATGATGCTACTAAAATGCCAAAGATGCAATAAAAGGACGTCGAGCATAAAGAAAGTGTAATATATTAACAGTTTAAACTAGAAAACAGTGTTATTCTTTTGAGCTGTCTGTTGTGTGCGTTGGGGGATCAGCGCATAACCGAAGAGGACAACAGATATATCATTTGCTAGTTTTTCCATTCAAACGAGAAAGATGATAGTTTTTGCATTCGAATATCCATTCTACCCTAAAATGAAATGCAAGGATAAATTTACATTTGAGTTGGAATCCTACCAAGAAGAACGAGTAAGGGTTCTAGGATAATTTCTTCATATTATATCATCATATGTTGGGCTACCAGAGAGAATTTCCCATCTATTGATGTGACAACCACATTTCGGCTTAATTATATATCATGTCCGCCACCAGAAGGGCAATGAAGTAATTGTCAGTTCAAACAGGTATTACATTTTGTCATCTTCTCAAGTATTTTCTATCTAATTTAATTGCTCAGAAAAACTAGTACACCTACGTGATTTATCAAGACCCAGGATTCCTCCTATTGAGAGAACACCAATTTTGCACCAGTCTTTGTTTATGTCAGATAAAGCAAGCAAAAGCGGTGAAAGAATGAACCAACAGCCTAATATGGGAATGATATATGGAAAATCAACCCGTAATTCATGCAAAATAACTATACAAAAGCCCCATCTCAAAAAGGTTTAAGTGCCACTTCTGCAATCAGATGAAAAAATGGCTGATTTCATGCTCATAAAATGACAGATACTGAAACAATCCCCGTGAGTCACTTAAGTGGGATTGCTTTTGTTTGTGAAATAATAGGGCCCTTAATTATCTTTGACATCTAAAGAAGCCATTAGTATGCACAGGGAACAACAAGTTTGCTCCCCTTGGAGCAAATTAACGAGACAGCACTTGGGTTAATTCACTTGAGGTGGCCAAAGTAACACAACAGCCGATATTGGCATATGCACGCCATCTAGACATGCAAGTAATAGATTTCTTGAATTTGGCAATGCTAGGAAGAGGGATTAGTTGGTTTGGTATGGTCACAATTTCACAAAGGCATGAGGTGTAAACCAAGTCAAGCAAGAAATATAAGATGTACAGCTCATAACAGAGGATATCACTCGCCCTTCCCTTCTGATTATGGTGCATTCTCTGGATCCTGCACCTTCAACTTTCCCACTTAACATTTGCCCCTATATAGCATAATGTTTGAATCCGAAAAATGCAATGAACACTCAAATATCATAGAGTCAACAGAAGATCACAAAGTACTACACCTCCGTCCATATGCTAACATGCCTTACTTCTAAGTTCTACAAAAACTTAATTGAAACTTATATGCGACACAACCATCCACCATCTCATCTAGTCTGAGTCCCTGAATAGTTCATAAATGGTGGGTGTCGACAACCAAATATGATTGCTAAGACAAAATTCCACACCCACAAACACATGCAAGGTGCTTGTAGAGAATTTTCCTTAAAAAGTGTGTTGGGGACAATGTGATCCCTCCCTGTGCAACTCCACAATGAACATTTTGATTTTCAAGAACTTTCTCCCTGTTAACTATTTGAAGCCACACTTATCAAATCGGCTAGTCTGTTAAAAACCCGCACAAAGCACACAGTACATTGTTCCGAACAACTAATCAAAGAAGTACCCTCAACTTCATTACCAGAACAACCCCAAATGAAAGTTTATTTGAGTTATACTTGCTGCGGAAAATGAATCAGACACTAAATTACAAAGAAGCATCGAATTCTTGTTACCAGTTTTTAGCCCAGAGCGGCTTGAAATGCACCGTCAAGCATATCTTCCCTCCTCTATACATCTACGCAAACAAATCAAACACAATCACAAAACAATTCCACCATATAAGCTAGTTCTCCAATTCATTATTGAAAAGACAGAAGACAGAAAGAACCTTTTGCGTTTTCCCGTCCAGCTGCGGCAACTCAAGCTCCGGAGCCGTAGCAGGATACGTAACGGGTATATCAAACTGCAGATCAAACTCGTACTTGAGCAAATTGTGAACGTACCAGCATTTTCCGGTCCATCGCGTCCCCTCCGGATTGGCGGCAGATATACGGAACCAGTCGTTGTCGTTGGCCTTGTTCATCGAGGTGTAGGCGATCAGCGCCTTGTATTCCTCCTTCAGGCGTTGGGTCCACGCGCCGCCGTCGCGTGGGCCGGCTTTCACCGTCAGCAAGGGGATTCGGGTCAAAGTTGACTTCGTTGAGGTGTCCCAGCCCTCCATGATCCGATCGCCGAACTGGGGGCGGAGGGCAGCGGATGTAGTTGCGGAAAAATTGCGTGAGTTATACGAACTAATTTGATCGGCAATTGGCATATATATAAAGGAACTAGTATGTACATGTGCAATGTACGGCACAACAAAGATATTAAATATTTTATTTTCACAGCCTTATCCGTTTAATTTTAAAAATAATAGAGTTATTATATAGTTTCTATCTCTTTTAATCAACGTTTAAGTCTAAAAAAAATAGAGGTTATTATAAGTTTTTTTTTCACATCTTTTAACTTTTTTTAGCCATTAAATATGAGCATGTTAGGGCTTATAAAATAATTAATATATTATCTCACTAAAACATTTATACTAATAAAAATTTAATTTTAGCATATAAATTTATCTCTTGATATAAGAGAAAGTAACAGTTTTACTTATTGTTGTTCACCATACAATATTTAATTATTATTTTATTATATAATTAAAAAAGAATACTGTTAAATAGTACAGTAGAATTGTTATAAAATTATATGATTTTTTTTTTTTACAATATGGATTTAATATCTTTTTATAATTTGATAATATAAACAAATCTATACTTACCTTTGACAATTAAAACAAATAATTACTTTAGTAAGTATTTAATGTATGTACTAAATAGGATAATATTTGGTATAATCAAATACCAAATATAATCAAATAAGTCAAAGTGTACATTTTTATTTAGTATTTAATTTTTTTATTATTAAAATCTTTTTATTAGACTTACCTTTTTAAAATAAAACAAATAAATAATCAATTAAATAAAATATTATAATACCGAAATAGTAATGCATTTAATGCAGTTGACTTTTCTGGATACTAAATGTAGTAAATAAGATCCCCTTTTATATAAGTATAGATAGGGATGTTAAGTTGGACCGGTTGAAGCTTTTGGGCGAGTCAGACCCGCCCTGTTTGTAGAAGGGGCGGGTCTCTTCGTTTCACAAAAATATGGGAACTTAATGGACGATTGGCTACAAATTAAAATCGTGATTGAATAATTATTTTATATTTTTTAACTCAAAATTTAGTTCAAGTTTAATTCAACTCAATATTATCAATATAATTAAATAATATTAATTAATTATCATACATCACATCAACTTTAATTTACTATTCATCTGAGATGATATGGGATACCATACCGGGTCGACTTGACTCGAGAATCAAGTTGACTGAGCCAGTTGAACTATTAGGTCGATAAAGACGTTGTAGGTCCAAAAGAGCATTTACAGGTCGAGTTAGGGCCTTCGGATGGTCTGGTTGAAACTCGGCCTGATGGCATGAAAGGTCGATGGATTGACTAGGAGAGCAAAGCATACTAGCTCATCATAGAAGGCACTCTACCTCAAGGCGCATCGGGCAGTCGCACAATTAGACCATCTAATAAGACAGACAAATGGATAAGAAGAAATATTATTAAGATAAGAACCACACGTAGATAGGGCCACGTGCCTTAACAGAATTGTACAATTTGAGTAATACGAACGGGCAGTTTGGGCAGCACATTCGGATAGTATTGGGCAAAATGGTAATCACTTAATTAAAGCACCAATAAATTTGATGTCTGTACAATTCCAATTTTGACTGTTTGTACAGTTCAATGAGTTAATTTGAATTGTCTGTACAATCCCAATTTTAAAAATTCGCAAAAACAAAAGATCTAATTTGAACGATCTCAAAATATCGAGCCACAATAGTTCTAAACTATGCAGATAACAACATACAATAATCAAATTGAAAGTAACATACGACTAAAACACTTTCGAAACGCATACAATTGTACGATTTTGAAAAGGACCAACAAATTATAAGTATTGTTCAAACACTCATATCGGCTATGGTTTCGCCTTAAGAACAAGAAAATGGTTCTTACTTAATTAATTAGTCTGTCAAAGCCGACTCTTGGACTAAGTATGAATCTCAATTTCCCCAATTTGCGATCTTCTTCCTCCTCGTGCTACCATACACCCTAAACCAAATATGGGGTGAAAGTCGAATACTGGTTATGCTCTCGTAGTTGAAAAAGACCGAAGATTTGTTTCAAAACCTAATTACACAATTTTGTCCAATAAGGATTATAATTGTCATTTTAACCAGTATCATAAAAACTAATCATGTGAAGTAAATGAAGGATTACTTAGATCAAGTATTCGCCATACATTATAAACAAATAATAAAAGTTGAACTGAAACACTAACATAAATAATATAATCAAATCCCATTCACTAACATACATAATATAGTCAAATCCCATCCCATTTCGGTCGTATAGGATTTCAAGTGATATTTAGAGTTTTTTTGAGATATGAGATTATTTAGAATATTCGAGTTTCGGAGGAATACTGCGAAATTTTAAGGGAGTGTATTCAATTGAGATTTCTAAAGACTTCTCAAAACTTTAGAAATCACGGGTTATTCAATTCAGATTTATTAAGACTTTTTTGTGGTATTCAATTGAGATTTTTAAAATTCTTGCAAAATCATGAGGTATTTAACCTATTTGAAACTAGGATTTATTTAGATTTTTTAAGATTTGGTGGGATTTATAAGGAAAAAAACCTTATACAAAATCCCACTTCAAATACTATTCACAGAATTCTTCCAAAATCTGAAAATTTTTAAAAAGTCTCAAATCTTAAAAGATTTTTTAAATGTCACTCGAAATCTCAATTGAATAGACCCCTCTAAGTTTGGAGGTAGATTTGGAGTGGGACTTCGTATATGTCTCTTTTTAGAAATCCCAGCAAATCTTATTACGTTTTAATAAATTATAGTCTCAAATAAGTTAAAAATACCTCGAGATTTTGTAAGATTTTTTAAAAAATCCTAAAAAAATGAATACCTCAATACTTATAACAATTTTAAAAAATTTAAATTAAATACAACAAAATTTCTAAACTCTTAAAAAGACTTTCAAGAGTTTTTAAAAATCCTAATCTATTAATATATAAAGAGGCAACCCAATAAATCAAAAATAGTAACTAAAAAATCTATAGATTTTCCGCCAAAAGTTTCATAATTACTAAACTAAGTAAGGTTTTTTTGAAAAATTTGGGAATATCCCTCTTAAATATTTTTTTGAAATTTTTTGAAAAAAACTTAAATCCAATAATTTAAAGGAACCAGTCAACACATTTGTTGGAAAAGATCACGCCAAGATCTCTCAATGTTTGGGGACTGAAAATTGCCATGGCTGGTGACGAGTTACAAGTTGCTTTTCTATTAAGCAGGGGGAGGGGTTATGGGCTTTACAGCGGAAATTGTTGCTTCTACGTGAAAAAGGTTTTGTGAGGGCGGGTTGCTGTTGTGCGCCGGCGGCTGCTGTAACGAGGTGTTCGGAACTGATGCACATGGTCGGAGATGCACAGTGTAATTTATAAAATTTAACTTTTCCTTTTCTCTTCTTCTTTTTTCTTTCTTCTTCCCTCTCTTTCTGTTATTAATATTATTATTAATTTCTTTTTGGAATATAATAGGAAGATGCAGAAAGAGAGAAGGCAATGAGCATCCACAGAGTTGCACTAGGAAATTTTGCATTCCCGTTGGCTCTGTAAAATTGAGGACTCAACTGCGAGCTACCAAATTCGGGCCGATTGTAAGGTCTTTCGGGCAGGCTAGGGGAATAGGGGGATCCCAATAAATTAGCACATCTAGGATCATTCTGCAATTCCACCATCGACGAGCCGAGATTCATAGGAGTTTCTCTGGAAACAGGGAGATGATTAGAATCCGTAAAGAACTTCCTATAGTTATCAAACGCTCCATAAGTCTCGAGATTTAAAAGAGAGGCACCATTCAAAGCGCGATTACGAGATTGTACGCAATTTACGAATTCTAGGCCTTTGTCCCGCTCATCGCTAATGTACATTTTGCTAAAATTTCGGACAGATGAAAATCATCGAGGAAATTGACATCGTCGTTACAGGATGATGACCGGAATTTCTGAGCGCTGTAATTTTTTCCAGGCGTGTTCTTCCATTGTCGGACGTGAGGGGACGGAGTGAAGGAATATGGCTGGAATTTCATAAGAAAATTTTGGAAGCGCGTAGCCTATCAGATTTTCATAATTTTTAACAAGGAACGCGTGAATTTTTTCCCAACAATATTATGTGTGAGTTGGTGGCTATGGCCGCGACTGATGAAAAACTGCCGGAAATCGCGAGGTCGCCGGACATGGTTGTACGAAGGTGGCAGCGCGCTGTTCACGTGAGGAAGACGCACAGTTTTTTCGCGATGCGTGCTATTTATGTGTGCCCAGATTTTCAGCAAGTTTGTTGCGTCGAAACGCATCTTGAACAATAAGACCGACAATTTTTCTCGCATAACTTTTGGCCGAGTATTTCTGTGAAAGGACTCAATTCCTTCTTTTTTTGGTTGCAGTTGCTTACGTCCAACTACTTTTTTTTTATTTTTTATTTTTTATTTTTACGTCCAGCTACTTATGAAGAAGTACATAGCAAGTTTTCATTGAATGAATTATGCACGTGTGAAATCCCTTAGGTAATAGGAAAGATAATGTCCATAATAGAAAATATTTATTTATTTTCATGTCTATTGTCATTATCTATATCTATTACAATAAAATAGTATTAGGGATTTAAGTATAAAGTAAAATTTCGCCTAAAAATTTTGATTTTATTACAATTGGTAGCTCTTTTCAAATTCTTTAAAAAATTGACGGTTGATTTGTAATTTGAATTTCAAATTCATTCAAATATTTAAAGAAAAATATTATTTTTGGATACATTCTATTTTATCTTAACTTATATAGAATCACATATTCTTAACAAACATTAAGTTTGCTTATATATTTTTAAATTAATTACATCATTATAAATAATAATGACATTATACGACAATAATTTTTTAAATAAAATAATAGTTGAGCATTCTGATGAACCAAAATATGCAAAATTATTATTTTTTCTCTATTAAAAAATAAATATATATGTTAAAATACTATCTATTAATTAATATATGAAGAGGCAATGATATTTACTTGAAATAATAACTAAAAATCAGCAAAAAAATATTTAGTTTTTCACCTAAAATATTTACTAATATTTTTTTGGCCAAAATTAGAATAATCCCGCTTATGTGATATTTTTTTTTTGAATATTAAAAATGTAAACATTGGGTCGGTTTGGAAACAAAATCGGGCCTAATTTTGTGTCTATCGGATATATTTATGCTATTTATTTTTGTAAAAGCCGATTGTCTTGCCAATCAAAAAATCTGAATTTTTGACTTTAAATTATTAGTTTATTTCAAACATTTTTTTTTTATTTCCAATAAAAAAATACGAATTTAGTTGATTTCAACAAAAGGTTACCAATTATAAAAAAACATGATTTTACCACTTATATGATTTTTTTTTTTCATTTTTGGTTCATAATCACAATAAAACTAATTTTAAACCTATTCATCATTCAAGTCCATAAGGTAACACAATTTAAGTACATTCTAGTTAGGAAAGTAAATTTTATTTGCATATAGAATAGTAAATTTTATTATTTTTTCAATACAAATACTAAAATATGATTCCATAAGGTATCACAATTTAAGTTTTTTTAAAGCTCTAATTGATAGTAATTGTACATTATTATAGTTCTAAAACAGTACCTAGGTGTATTAAAACTCATTTGCACGATTTTCATACCAAATTAACAATTGGACAATTGATTTTTTTTTTATAATCTCACCAACTAAAAATCGAATTTGTAATAATCCTAAAATAAGTATAATTTGAAGATATTGAAAATCATTTTTGATAGTGATTTGACGAAAATAAAGTTCTAAAAAAAAAGTTTACTACATTTTTTTTTTCCCGGAACGATAGATGTACTATAAAAAGCACAAAAGTGCAAAGAGAACAAATTACAAGACCCCAACAGGGTAATCCCTAAGACCCCAACAGGGTAATGAGACAGGGGCCGACGGCCCAAACCAAAACCACGCCTAATAAAAGAACAGGAATAGAAAACTGAGAGGACACGCTCATAGCGGCCTAGAGAACTCCACAACCGAAAATAAAGGAAAATAAATAACAGAACCACTGCACAATGCCTAGCCTGTATTCATTTCCAAACAAAGACAAACAAACACACTGAACAAAAACTACAACAACCCGAAAAAAAATACACAGAACGAACACACTGAAGAAAATAAAACGACCCTCCCCCGGAGAAACAACTAAGCCGAAGAAGCAGCTACAACTGACCAAAGGATAGGCCCCTAGCCAAGCCCCAACCCCCGAAACTGCCGAAGGCCTAACAAGAGGTAGGGCCCCGCCCCCGAACCCAACCAAAGGACAGCACCCACTGACCGAGGAGAACAGGCCCAGCCACCCCAACCAGCAGAACCCGAACTAGGCTAACACCACTAGCCCAGGTCGAGAAAACCGGATCCCACGCAACCCAAACCGAGCTGCACTAGGATAGATGCAACCTGCCCGAACTCTAACTCCGGCAACCACCACATGAGACACACAGCAGCCACCAGAGCCCCACCCAACCACCACCATCGCTGACCCGCCTCCACAACCGCAGACTCTCAATCGCCCTCCCGCCACTTCAGCCAGCTACCCAGCAGGAAGCCGAGCCCCGGCTAAGCAGCCCAAACCCACACCAACACTCAGAACCACCAACCCTACACCCAAACGAGCCGAAACAAGCCCTGACAGACGACCCCGTCGGAGAAATCGCAGAGCCCCAAATCGAACCCTAACCCCCAAACTCACCGATAATCAAATCCACCAAACAGAACCAAATCAAGATAGAGAACTAACCAATAGACTCCCAATCGCAACGAGCAGCATCGAAGACACCGGATTACAATCGGGAACCGCCGCAGTTCTCCAACCCACCACCAGATGAGAGAGACGAAAGAGAATGCTATGGCCGCAAAATCGAGGAAAAACAACGGCAAGGGGGGAATGGGCGGCCAGCGACGGCCGCAGAAACGGCGTCGCCGTCGCCGGAAGAGGTCAATTCGGTCGAAAGGAGTGGAGCAGCGGGAGGTAAAAGCCGAAGAAAAAATCGCCGAGAGAAGATCACTTTTTGAATTAGTTCACTACAGTTAGGAAAGTAAATTTCATTTGTAAAAAAATATTAGATTACGATTCTTATTTTTCAATATAAATGCTAAAATCTAATTCCATTAGGTAGCACAATTTAAGTCCACTATAGTTAAGAAAGTAAATTTCATTTTCATATAAAATATTAGATTTCGATTTTTTTTTTCAATATAAATGTTAAAATCTGATTCCATAATACCAAAAATATATTCCAATTTTAGTTTATAAAATCATTCCATATAAATGTTATATATTTTATTGTTATGATTTAAATTTTAATGTTTTTATTTAAAGGCTATGGACAAATGAGTTTGTCCCACAATCGACTCGATTATTGATAATTGGTGGTACCTTGTGTGCAAAAGATCCAATAGCAAAATGGAGAGTGAAGATGGCGAGATGCATGGCAATGGTTAGAATATATATTTTTTTGCAATATTAAATAATTTTTAATTAATTATTATATTATTTGGTATTTTATGACATGTGTTTCGTATTTATAAAGATACAAGATTCAATTTGGAGTCGCTGATGCTTCTGCAAATGGAACTTTCATATGTTGGGATAGAGTGTGAACAGATGATTGGCAAGTCTTGCGAGCTTCTAAAACGTGAATTTTCTGCGGTAAAGGTGACTAATATTTAATAAAAAATATCAAATATTTAAACGTTTACCAAATTAAAAACATTGTGTATAGAGAATTGTTTAATAACATATTATTTTTTTTACATTTTGTATTTATTCGTTTTTTTTCCATTATAATCAAATGATTAACTTTTAAGAAAAATAATTAAAATAAAGTTTAGAAATTTTTTTTTGAGAAATAAACCCGTGCAGCGCACGGCGAGTACACTAGTTCAATACATGCCTCCTCGTTAGTAAATGGGGCTATTGGAGGGAGTATCTATTATCCTTTCCATTACCCTACGATCAGAGACGCACTTTCCTGCTTTCCCAATCCCCCACTCCCCTCCCTAATTCAAACCCTAGAACCCCCTTTGAACAAAACCCCCAACGTTTATCCCAAAATTCTGATTTTGAATCGATCTTCCAAATTGTGACATGGCTGGGCCTCCATCGAGGGAGCAGGCGCTTCCTCTGCTGGCAGCGGCGAACAACCATGGGGACTTGGCCGTGAAACTATCGTCATTGAAGCAGGCCAAAGACATCTTGTTGTCCATTGAACCTTCTCAGGCGGCGGAACTTTTCCCTTACCTGGTTGAACTTCATTATGCTCCTGAATTTCTTGTCAGAAAGTACCTCCTTGAGTGAGTGATTCTTACAATAACTGTTAAAACAATTTTGTTTTTTTTTTAATAAATTTTGATTTCTATGAGTTGCGTTGTTTTTTTCATCCGTAAAACTCATATTTGGTGTGACATCCTTATACTCAATGCAGTTGAGGTTTTCTGTTAATGACATGGGCTTGTGCCTGGCCCTATCGTCAATTGAAGACTTTGGCCAATTTGTACAATAACATTTATTACTAACCCTGGTTTCTTGGCAGTCTTGTCTCACATCTTGAAACTTTTGATAATTTGCTGCATTAATTTGTTTCCATTATCTGGATTTCTGAGTTTCAAGTTGGATTCTTTATGTTCTGAATCCCTTTTATATGGATTAGAACTTAATGTCAAGAATAAAAATATGAGTTAAGGATGCTTGCTAATTCTTCATGTCGTAGACTTCTAGTGCAGCTGTTCTTTTCATAATACACCAACAGATGAACATTATATGAAAATTGATGGGCTTAACCGTTGCATCAACCTTTTGATTCAATGACCTAATTTTAACAAAGTTTGGAAAAGATTCTTTAATGCACACCTAAAAATGGTCACCAACTTTTGTTTCATTCATCAATTGGAAGTTGAGTCGGGTTACTCAGTTAAGCCCTGTTCTGCAATGAAGTTTATATTTATTTATTTGATTTGTTACTTTTTTACATTCTACAATCATGCCTCTACTAATATCTTCGTGAAGCTGTTTCTGTTTGCACAGACCTTATTCAGCAGTATTATAATCTTTGGTCCAGTTTGTTGTTAAATCATAATAACCTAGTGTTAAGGAATGATAGTTCTTACGGAATGTTGTACTTTTACTGTTTCTGAATATTTCTACACTTGACTTTGAATGCGGTTACTCAATGGTTTAATCATAATATTTTCTCAAGAAAAGCTCCATGGAGAGTTGGACATTTTATGAGTTTATGGTGCAACAGCCAACAGTAGTTCCTATTTTTGAGCTCTGAGCTTGAAACTGTTGGCATTGATTTGGGTATAAATAACTATGTATCTATGTTGCTGTGTTATAGTGATTTGTGTGTCTCATCAGTTAACTTTATTGAGACTGGCTGACAGGGTAATTGATGAGATTGGGGTCAGAACGAGGGAGCATTTGTCCATATTGTTACCCGTCTTATTGACATACTTGAAAGATAATAACCCTGTGGTAGCAAAGCAATCTATTGTCATCGGCACAAAATTTTTCTGTATTGTGTTGGAAGAATTAGCATTTCAGGTCTCTCTCTCTCTCTCTCTCTCTCTCTAACCCCTGGAGCGTATGTGTCGTGTGCTTGTACATGTCTTTCTTGTTATGAAAATTATGTATTTTTTCCCTCTTGTTATGAAACTTAATTATGTAAAATATTTTGTGATATTCGAGCTCACTATTTCTCTTTTCCATCTGTTGCTTTGTCACTTCTACGAATCGTAGTCTGTAATAAATTGTCTTAATATCAAGTAAGGTTTAAAACAACAAAAGCTTCTGAGAACTGGATTCATGTCTTCTTCTATTCTTTTATGTGTTTGTTAATGAAGATTTATGCAGTATGATATACTGTATGATGCATTCTCTCACTTAAGACTTGGCTATTTTATTATCTTTGGCTGCCGTATCTCACTAGTATGCTTTTGATTACGTTACATTTTTGTGTATTTATATGAAACTTTAATGCCGTACTTTTGAAACTTTATAGTTTCAACGGCGTGGTATAGTTGAGAGATGGCTTGAAGAGTTGTGGACATGGATGCTCAAATTTAGGGATGCTGTTTTGGGCATTATATTTGAGGTATGTATGGAGATTTTGCAATTTACTTTTACTGCTAGGTAGTAGTGCTCTATATTCTTGTATAAATACTTGAAATATGTGGATCCTTTCTTGTTCTCTTCATTCGAATTCTGAGTTATTCGGAGGAATTATCATGCTTTTAGTGGACTTTTAACTGTTTTTTTCTCCATGAAAATGCTTACAGACGTTGTTTAATGCTCTGTTGCTTTAAATAGAACAAATACCTCTGCTGCCAGTTCTGGTGCCCAATATTATATTTTTAGACTGGTCCATTTTGTCAGGATAAGAAGTGTTGGTTTGAAATCTTGGTGTTGAACCATCTATGTACTATTTTCTGACTCCATGGACCTTGTGCAGACGACTTCTATTGGCCCAAAACTGTTGGCAATAAAATTTCTGGAGACATATGTCCTACAGTTCACTTTGGATTCAAATGATCCTGGACCATATGACCCTGAAGGTAATGATGGCTAAATCCATAAAAATACGATAAGAGAGATTATAATTTTTTAAGCCATTCATGAGGCATAACTTCTTGCTTGGCTAGTTTCACTCTTGTCATTTATACTGATTTGAGGTCGGATTGTTAATGTTTATCCTCTGGATTCTGCTTTGCCTGTAGTTGCGATGAGATCAGGAAAAATGTTTAACGTCTCATGGATAGTAGATGGTCATCCTCTCCTGGATCCACCTTCTCTCATATCTGATGCAAATAGTTATTTGGGTATCTTATTGGACATGTTGCGGCCAGCTAGTAATATCCCTGGTTCCTTGACGATTGCAGCTGTCAATAGGTGAGCTATTTTAGTAAATCTTTATTCCTCTTTGTATAACAGTATTTATATTTTGCATGAATGTTACTAATCATGTTGGTTTGGTCTTGAAAATTTGATGAAAGAACATTAGGCGAGCTATATCTTATTAAAATCTTTATTCCTTTTTTTATAAAAGTATTTATATTTTGCATGTATGTTACTAATCCTGTTTGTCTGGTCTCGAAAATTTGATGAAAAAACATATAAGTTCATCACGTGAAATTTAATAACACAAGATTTGAGTGTGATTCTCACAATTTTATTTATCATGTATTGTCCTTTGTGACTGGTTNTATGGAATGTCTAATATTATGTGTTAGGATTTTACCCCATTATCTACTCAATCACACTACAAAATGCCCTTTATCAAATTATAAGACCTAACAGTGTTCCTTACCAAAGTTCTGGAATCCTTTTCAATCTTTCAACCCATAGAGAAAAAAGGTCATAATAAGGGAATTGAAAGTAGAAACTTAATATCTACATTTTATCGAGTATCTACGTTGAAATATTTTTAATAGCTATCAGACTATCAGTGTTGGAAATGCTACCTCTGGATTCCTTATGTTGTGAAAACTTTCTTGACTTTCTTTAGTGTGTGTTTGGCTGCAATCGTATTACGGGCTTGATTAATTCCTATTCAAATTATTAGCTTTATGCATTCGATACACTAAGGCCTACTAACATATTTGTTTCATTATGGCATATAATAAACCAGACAGTATTACTTTATGCATTCGATACACTAAGGCCTAATAACATTTTGTTTCATTATAGCATATAATAAAACCTACATAGATAGTATTACAATTTTGCCATTCATATATAATTAAATTCTAGTGCTTCTTCTATTAGTGAAGTTTCTAGAAAAAAAAATATATCAAACGGCGCAATGCACCTTGGGTCGCTACGGAAACAGCCTCCTTGTATAATTACAAGGGTAAGGTCTGCGTACAACTGACCCCCCAGACCCCAACCTGTTGGGAATATACTGGGTATGTTGTTGTTGTTGTTGTTGTTGTTGTTGTTGTATATATAATTAAATTTCAAAGGTTACCAAAAACTTTGCTGCAACTTTCAGCTTTCCTGTGAATATCTTACAAACATTTCATAAATTTGATTCAGAATTTACTTCAGAAATTGATAAAAACAACATTTCATTCTATACATTTCCAAAAAATAAAAAAAAAACGGGTGAAGACCTAAAGGGAAAAAACGGAAAACCAAATTTAAGGTTAATTGAACAGTGAAAGGAGTTGTGGTGATGAATTTATTGGGGACCCGCGGCTCCACCGTCACCAGCGACTGGCGACACTGATGCCGCTTGTTGTTGAATTTTGTTCTTCACCCAAGCTCCTTCCAGCGGCTCAAGCATCTCGGCGCCTTGGGGAGAACAAGTACGGATCAATGGGGAAGGCCTCGATTCTATGGCGAGATTTTGGTGTTCCGGGGATCTGACTCTGGAAAATGTCAGAGCCGCAGCATGCCAGATCGTGGAGAGCTGCAGCGGCACGAGTTTTCCCTTGTTGAATCTTCAAGCCGGAACTCAAAATCCACCAGATCCATACCGGAAGCCTCTTGTGCTGTTGGATTGCTTTAAGGA